GGATAGTACCTTTTAGACTGTCTCCTCTGTTTGCTATTATTCAGTCAGTATCACATTTTACTAAAGCCCAAACTAACTTATGAAAAGATGATTGAAAGAGGCTTTATTGCAATGAAAGTGATTACATGTCACACACTTCCTGAGCCTGATGTGACTCAAACATTCAACCTTCTGATCTACAGTCAGATGAGCTACCATAACACCAGTCAGATGTATATGTAAACAATACAGAATTAAAGTATTTATTTTGCAAAGTGTGGTAAATCCCTGTATTATAAACTGAAATTGAGCATAAATCTTAATTATTAAATGACGTACATTTGGATTTTACATAAAACAAATGTATTTGATAAACCACGGCTGACAACATGTAGCTGTGAAGTATGACAACAGCATCTGAGTTGATTAGAAAGAGCAACAAACAGGTGACTCTGTGGTGCAATGGTTGCGCATCTGACTCCAGATCAGAAGGTTGTGTGTTCAAGTCACATCAGGGTCATGACTGAATGACCTCAGCTTTTTATCAAGCAGAAAGTGTTGAGGTAATCACAATATCAGAGAATGCTGCTTCAGGTAATTGTGTAGCACAGCTGCAGCAACAATCAATGTGTAGCACCGTCTTGGTTCGAAGCAAAGTGTTTTCTTTTATAGATGTTTTTATAGATTTTTTTATAGATGTTTTACTGTGTTGTTAATGTTGTTTTGTTGTTGTTTCTGTGTTTGTGTTTCTATTTTCTTTCCACCTTGCCGCAAGGAAAATTTCTCTAAGGGGACAAAAATAAAATGATATGATGATGATCATGATGATGATTTATGTAAATATTCTAAATACTCCATGCTGCCGATCTGTCTGTGGTCCCTTTTACAAACAATACTAAGCAGAAGTTAAACCTGCCTCTTTGAAGGGATAATTTTATTGGGTTTCAGAGGCAAAATTGGACCATGGCAGGCAGGGAGGAAGGCTCAAGAAATAAAAGTCTTTTTTTTTTTTAAAAATGTGGGGCGGCAATCAAAAAACCAAAACTACAAAATTTTTCTCCACATTGACCAAAACTTATATGTTTTATCCTGGGTCTCTTGTCAATCAATTAATAAAAGGAAATATTTCCTTTGGAAAAATATATTTTCATTCTATAAAGGTCCAAACATCAAGACCTTATCTTAACTAGACATATAACATCAAGTCTATAACAATTTTCATCTTTAACTGTATTACTTGTCTTTGATGTTATTTTTGACTGTTTTAGTCATGATTCAATTAAATTGATTCTTGCTAAAAAAAAATTAACAAAAAAGACAAAGCTGGTTCCTCATCTTGAGTATTTTGGTCTGACATAGGAACTCCCTGCATATTTTACAATCTCACACTTCGGTAAAAATGAGTGTGAATAAATGTTGGTCAATAATTGACCTGGTGCTCCAACCTAGTAAAAATGTAGTGAAGGACATAATTAGTCAATCACCCTTTCTGTTTCTCTCCTAACAACTTGCTACATCATTTTGACCAAAACGAAGCAGTTGTAAATCATCAGAGCAGTTTTAAAATTGGTCAGGTCTACTTGTTATGTGAAAAAGATGAAAAAAATTTCATAAACAGATCTGCAGAATAAGTTTAATAATTTAAAAATGTATATAATCTCCTATAGTTAATTTGATTCAATATTATAGATACAATATTGTATTCTAAGAGATATTATAAAACATTTTGCAGAACATCTAGAGAAGAAAACTCACCCATCAGGCCTCAACAACAATAGACATGTCATGTTCTTCTAGTTCTCCAGTGCTTTTAACACAATTCAGTCTGAGTTGCTTTGTCTGAAACTCCAGAAGACTCCGGTGGAGGCCTCAACAATCACCTGTATCAAAGACTAGCTGACAAACAGACCAGTTTGTGAGACTGAAGGACTGTGTCTAACCAGGTGGTCAGCAGCACAGGAGCACCACAGGGAACTGTACTCTCACCATTTCTGTTCACACTGTACACTTCAGACTTCCAGCACAAGTCAGACYGCTGTCATCTACAGAAATACTCAGATGACTCTGCAGTTGTTGGGTGTATCAGAGATGGACAGGAAGCTGAGGACAGAGAGCTGGTGAACCGCTTTGTGGCATGGTGCGGGCAAAGGAGATGATTGTAGATTTCAAGAGAAATAGTGTTAGATCAAACCCTGTTTCCATCATGGGAGAAGAAGTGGAGGTGGTTGAGGAATATAAATACCTCAGTGTTCATCTGGACAACAGACTGGACTGGAGACTCAACAGTGAATCAGTCTAAAAGAAAGGACAGAGCAGACTGTACTTCTTAAGGAAGCTGAGATCTTTCAATGTCTGCAGCGAGATGCTGCAGATCTTCTACAAGTCTGTTGTTGAGAGCGTCATCTCTTCTGCAGATCTTCTACAAGTCTGTTGTTGAGAGCGTCATCTCTTCTGTCATCATCTGTTGGGGCAGCAGCATCAGAGCCAGGGACCTAAAAAGGCTAAACAACCTGATAAAGAAGGCTGGTTCTGTTCTGGGGACGACTGTGGAATCTCTGGAGATGATGGTGCAAAGAAGGATTTTACATVAAATCAAGAACATTGTGGACAACCCTGACCATCCTCTTCATCAAACTGTCATAGAAAAACAAAGTGTCTTCAGTCAGAGGCTTCTTCAGTTTGATTGTAATACAGATGCTACAGAAGAGTTTTCCTGCCCACAGCCATCAGCATCTACAAAAACTCTTTAGTTAAATGAGTTACAAC